CCGGTTATTTATATAAGTAGAATTTAGAGACATCTCATATATCCTCTATTGTTTCTTCTGTCCTGTTCGGCATCATCGGTACAGTGAACATTACTTGCCACAAAAACACAACTATGTAGTCAGCCGTATTTATTTGCCGATTACGATGAGAGAGTTTATCGAGGAAAAAGTAGGCAAGATAACGGAGTGAAGTTCATGTTAGATTTCTCGAAGCCATTATATAAACCTGAGCATGTTAGGAAGATAAGGTAAAATCACTTCAAAATCACTTCAAAATCACTCTATCATCACTTAAATATGTAGCTATCCCAAACTGCAAGCATCTTTATGCCTCCTTTAGGTTTACAATTCAACCTGATTCACATAAAGCATTCTTTTTACTTATTTTTTACTTCTCTTCCTTTTTGTAGCCTTGGTCAGCTTATGGCTTGGACTTTGCCGAAATCGAACCAATCAGAAGCTTACATTTCTCTAACAGACAAGGATGTGAATTTAAGTGAGTTTTTAATGATAAGAAACGCCTACTTCTTGTTTACTTGACTATATTTGTAGCGATAAGTTTTTCCTAGATTAAAACTCTATGGATTTTCTTTATTTCGTATATCCTGATGGGCATATCCTGATTGCATTTTTGGGCTCACACTGAACCTTACCATATAAGTATATACCAAGTTCTCGGTCCGATTAAAAATTACGATGCTTACTATGGACTCCGGACAAGGTGTGTTTCTCTAAGTCTTTCTGCCAATATTTTTTTGTTAACGAGTAGGTTTTCCAGACTACCAGTAAATCAGCTATCTGAATCGTGCTTACCCTATTTCGTTTAAGGTGACGAAGGACTGGTAGTTGAATTCTCCTACAATCATATGAGTAGAGCTGACGTTTCCATTAAATTTCGCATAGCCTTGCTTTCTCAAAGATGCAAATATGACCTAGTTTCAAAAACAAGGCCAAACAACTACTTACCATATATACTTGATTGTAATGCCTTCCGCGCGGGCCATCTTTTTTAGAATATATTGTATTTTTTACCTTTTTTGAGGGCGAAGCTCTACAACTTTTGCAACAGTAGGCTTTTAGGCTAGCTACTATAAGGCAGAATCATGTTGATGTTTTTTCCAACTGCGAACATCACCGTCCCCTATTCGCTTCCTCCATTTCATTCACTGGAGGTGTCAACAAATTGATAAATTCACTATACAGCCTTTTCTCATTATAAATGTTATTTGTAGGAATATTTTTTTTGGGCTCTAAGCCTGAGTGAAGCGTATACTTCAGTTGAATTTGAAGGATTTATTAAAATTGTTAGTCAGATTGTATCTTCGACTGATACCTCTATCTATGCTTGATTGCTTCCATGGATTCAAGAGATTCGCTAGTGGACAGACTTTCATCTTTAGTATTCCTTTTACGTGATATTAATTGCCAATATGAGCGTGCTAGGTTCTGAAGAAATGAGTAGAATCGGATGCAGAAACGAGCACTGGAAAAACGGGACCCTATATACTCGCAATATACCAGCAAAACCTTACTGCTTTTTTGTTTACTCATAAAACCGAGGAAGGACCCACTTTTAGGGTAGATAGTACAATTAATTTAAATGATATAATAAGAGATTCTTTCATATTAGGTTGCATGAGGTGTATTTCATCCCACTGATATGTATAGGACTCACGTTTCCATTGAACTTTACTCAGCCTTACTTCCAAAAAGTTATTCTTATCTGGGGTGAACTGCAGTTTCGACCTCGCCTAGGTATCATCATCATCCTTAGCAGTAATTGAGCTATGTTAGTTCAGGGTATAATCTCAAGACCTTACTTCTATGCCCCTGAGTTTCAGAGCAGATGAGCATTTAAAGAGAGGCGAGCTTTTTCCCATTACCTGGCAAAATACCGAGTTATACACTCATTACTCGAGTTCGGTTCACGCTATTCGATATCAAAACTAAAGCCCACTCTAGATGAGAATAGCTTTTTAGAAGCCTCAATAGAAACGTGAGGCCTTTTCTCATAATTGTTGGAAAATTCATCTATCATTCCTTCATCACCCTATGCTTCCTTGGGGACTATAATTCTTATTCAATATTTACTGATATGCTCTAAAACCTACTTTATCTGGTTATTTCAGTCCCGAAGGTGCCGATAAATTAATGGCAATTGTCCACTTTTACCTGAAAAGTTAAAGACTCCTTTAGCTAAATTATTTACTAGGTTTCTGCCGAGTCAAATCCCAAGGATCAATGCGAGTAATTATCAATGCTGATATGCCTGGGAGGACATACAGATGAACTTCATCTAATATTGCTAGGTCTTTTAATGTTACTTAATGTCTTTCGAATATTATTCTCCGAGTTTGATGACTTTATTTTATTTCTAACGCCCTGTTTATCCATATTCATTTATCCTGTCATCAGTGAGCAAAGAAGAGCTGCGTGCATATCTAATGATACATCTTCGCAATGGCTGTTTTCGTCTGCTTTTGCATCTACTCTCTCCGCCCACAGGTGGACTCAATCAACGGTAAATTCTTTTAGCTTCATGCAAATCGATTCGTCATTTATCTTATTCATTTATTCATAAGTTCTATATTTCATGTAGAAGACTTTATCTTGTCGAAGCTTAAACATCAAACTAGTGATGATGTTTAATTTATAGAATTCTAGCTCACAGACTATAATTTCGTCCTGCTTTTAGTTTTAATAAAGGCCTACTTTTACTATTTGCTTTCGGGTCTGGGATCTTCTATTTGTTTTAACAGACTTATTTAGTTCTTTTCATTCAGTAATTCCCATGCTTGATCCATCTTGCTCTTGGATTTTCTTCGGTCGTTGACAGAAACCTTTCATCATCTATCTTATTTTAAATGCTAAGGGATCATAACCTCCATATCGAAAGTTCTCACAACTTGCATATTCTCTTACTGTATGTTGTTAAATTGAAAATTAAAAATTTCAAAGTTCTGGAAGGTTGATTTTGAGCTCCAGATATTATGCTGAGCAGTTTTGCCCTATTCTCAATAATTCCTCTTAAATACCAGTAAACTATGTTATTTTAAGGACATGATACCATGGTGACTTCATAAAAATATGATTGCAGCCTAATATATGCTATTGGAATATATTGCAATAAAATCGGCTTTACAATTACTAATACAGTTCTCTCAAGTCCCCACTATTATAGACATAGCAGAAGGCTATACTAGCAGGCTCTTCTGCAATTAAAATTTCGTCACAAAACTCTCTGTCAAATTAAGGCAACCATGAAGATATCAAGGGGTTTTAGACCTTTCTTCAAGCTTAACAACTTTTCTTTCGTGAATAATGGGGACTGTGACAATTATTCCATGCGAAACAAAGTTATGCACTCTAAAGTAGATTTTTTAATTCTACTTTAGCCCAGCAG